CTCAATTTGTTTTTCCCTACAGCCCAGGCCTCAAATTTAATCCCATTTTTAAACTGTTCTAATCAAATATGACAACTTTCAGGTTACGTCTGAAAAGCTGTGTCAGTTACTAGCCTTACCTAATCAGGATAATTTTATAGTATATTCTGCCCTAAAAAGATTGCTAAATCAATAAGATTTAAAGACAGTGAGCAAAAGGCCCACAAAAATTACCTAAACAGTGTATCTTCAATCACATCATTTAAAGGACATTTAATCCTGTGTTTTATCAGCAAGTGACCAATTTCTCTGCCACAGTAAGCCTGAAGAAGTGATCTGCGCTTTTACTAACTCCACGGGAGAGGCCCAGCACCTGGGGATGTGCTTGCAGACTCTTGATTAAATCAGCAGGGTCACAGGAATTCCAGGCTTTCAAAGTTTCACAGGCAGGAGTATCCAGAACCAGCTACAGGGAAATGAGTGAGAACCAAAGTGCCCACTAAAATCGGCAACAGGCTCCAACTCGAGACCAAATAAACTTCCAGCAACCACAGCAAACAAAATGAAGAAACAGGTTTCCAAAGTGGTAACAACTTCCCGATAGCACCACTCCACGCCTCCAAAGCCGCATATGTGCCCATGTGCAAAGACTCTGATCACAACTTCAGAATGCTGGGAACTGAATACACAACAGCACAACTCATTTTCTTGGCGGAAGAAAGGTCCAATCCTGGAGCCACAACCACTTTGGAAGTTCCCAAACTACTCGGACAACTTGAAGCACATCAGCTTCCTCACCACCACCACCCGACCTCTAGGAAGAACCTTATAAGACAGTTACAAAATGGAATTATCCAGAATTCTCTACGTACTGACGCACTGAAATGTCCACTCTTCTCTTTATTCAGCCAAAAGGATTATGTCTGCCAGGTAAACCACCTTCTGTGCAAGAGGACACAATTTTTACTGCTAAAGGGTAAGGTTTAGGGACTCCCCTGGTGGCACAATGGTTGAGCGTCTGCCTGCCAATGGAGGGGACACGGGTTCGATCCCTGGTCCGGGAAGATCCCACATGCTGCGGAGCAACTAAGCCCATGTGCCACAACTACTGAGCCAGCGAGCCACAACTACTGAAGCCCACGCACCTAGAGCCCGTACTCTGCAACAAGAGAACCCACTGCAATGAGAAGCCAGTGCACTGCAACAAAGAGTAGCCCCCCACTCGCCGCAACTAGAGAAAGCCCGCGTGCAGCAACAAAGACCCAATGCAGCCAAAAATAAATAAATAAATAAGTAAATTTATTAAAAAATAAAAAAATAAAAATAAAGGGTAAGGTTTAAATGTCATATCACTTCTAAGAATTCCAATGTTCCTAATGACTTACAAAGCCATATATTTTAGGCTGTTCTTGATAAAAGTGCCCTCAAAATACAAACATTAAAAACATCTAATGACAAATGTGAAGGCATCATGAGTAAAGAGTAAAACCACAATTTGCCCCAGCTGCAGGAGTCCACCCACTTTGGGGCTGAAGGACAAGACCTTTCCCTGCTAGTTCTCCAGGTCTTGGAGGTGAGCACAGAAACGGAGGCCTCGGGTCAGACTCACCTGAACTCTCTGCCTTCGCTGTACCGTCTACTTGAGGAGGCCCTCGGGGCGGTGGTTTCCAGGAGCAGCTTCTGCGTGAGCCTGCCGGGGGGAGCCGGGTCTCTGCCATCGTCTTCGTCTACGTCTTGGTCACATTTCCATTCCTCATCTTCGTTCAAAGTGGGTAGGTATCCAGGTACTCCCTTCCCTGTCCCTGACCCGGAGCTCTGGTCACTGCAGAGCTTTGGGCTCTCCGAGCCTGTCCTCGTGTACTCCAAATAAATATCGGACTTGAGGAACGAGGGGTAGGTGTTCTCCTCCATGGTAGACTGGATTTCCGTCTGGGCCTGGTCGAACATGGCAGGATCGATCTGCTGCTTCATGATGCAGTCCTTTATGAAGCTCTTGGTGGCTGGCTTGGTCTGCCTGGACACAATGCCATTGTTATCGAGGATGTACTTGCGGTAGATAGCTCTGGCCAGCTTCAGCCTCTTCTCCTCATTCGAGTCACAGGGCTCCAGTTTCCTGAAGCCGCTGCAGGCAAACCAGAAGTCCAGGAGATCGGCACAGTCCTCCTGCTTCAGAAAAGTTCTAAACAGGTTTATCCCGTCTTGATCGTCCAGTAGGGAGTGCAGCGACTCGGCCCACTTCAAGTACGGAGGGGTGGGCGAAGCGCTACCCTCAGGCTCGTACCCCAGGTCCAGATCTGAGCGCCTCGGAGTGGCTGTTGAAGTCTCACCTTTAATCCCGGCACCTTTCCCAGAGCAGAAGCTGTGGCTGATGGGCCTGGGGTCCGTGGACACCAGTTCACCCTCCTCACCAGGCACTGGGGGTCGGGGGGCATCTTCGGTGAAACTTGCTCCGAGGTCCAAGGGGAAACCCTGCTCTTGGATATTCATTTTGGGACTCTGTGCGTCAATGAACAATGAGCGCTGCACCCTAATACATCAGTACTTACAGCTCCAAAGTGAATCAATCTGTCCTGTTGAAACCATTAAGAGGACAAGGATTAGGAAAGGTGGGTCCATGAAAACATGACCACAGAGGTTTTCTCAAGACAAGACTCGCAATGATGCCCTCCCGCTCGAACTCAAAGCCAGAAATGCAGTTTAAATTTTCAATCTTTTCTCACAAAAAAGGTTTGTACTATATTAGAACAATTTCTGGAAACTTTTCCAAATACAGGAATGC